AAAACTGCTGCCTCTCAGCTAGAGCGACTCCAATCACAGAAATCAAACCCCCGATAATAAGGCGAGAGTCTCAATATCAGAGGCAACCACAGGAACAGTCAAATATTTGTTGCGATACGCCATCTGGAGAAAGATGAAGAGAGATGATTCAGAAATGTAAAAAAAACCAACAACTAAATAATAAGCATTTTTGTCCATTAAGTTGTACCACAAACAAACTGCTGAGAGCTTTTAATTCCACTCAGCATGCCTAATGGATTCAAACAACAGTAGAGGAAACTTTGTTAAGATAAAATGAGCTAATATCGAGGACAATTTCAAATGCTTCTGAAGCATTGCTGTGAAGCGATGGAGAGTCCCGTGCTAATGGACGGTGTACAGCTTGTCTTGCACTGTTCTATCTGAAAACAGTAATGAGGCATTTTGCTGATGACGGGTAGGTGGCAGAAACACAATGACTTGGGCTCTGTTGACTGACCTCAGATGGGAAAAGGCCAAAACCCACACAAACAGATTGGGAGGCTGTGCTGGTTGGCAAGCAGACGGCTTAAAACTATGCTGGTTCTAAAGTGCGAGTCAACTGGAGATGGATCAATTTCGGGTGACCCGCAGAGCAACTTCTGTTGCACAGATTTATCCTCCATTGTGCGAGACAGCGCCTCATTTTGGCTTTGAAAGACTTAATTGGGTTATGATACAGAGCATTGTTTGAAGGAGGCATATGGGGAAGCGTTCACGCAGGCACAAACTAATGCAACACAACCAACCGACTTCTACTGTTTTTTTTTTTGTTCGGATTTTTCTGTCATCTTGTTATTAGAGGTATTTGCTAAGGAAAACATCATGGTTACTGTTGCTCATAGCTAAGGTTAGGGATTTGAACAGCGTGTACAACTCGCAGCGGTTGTGCTGTGAACTTGAATGATACTTCAAATCATGTGGCTTGTTGAGAAGAGGTGTGCTATTACTGTTCAGAGCAATCTGACTTTTTCTTTTTACCTGGCAGGTGATAAAATGAGTGGCATTTACTTACACTGAAGGGACCTGAGCCATGACAGCGCAGAAATATACTAACCATTCAGAACACTGCACAGCAGCAACTGTGTAGTAACTGCCTAGAATACCCTAGCAACAGCATAGAAACATGCTAAAAACAATTGACCTTAGCAGCCACCTAGAACACCCTAGCAACAGAATAATCATGCCGAAAACCATTCACCTAAGCATCCGCCTAAAACACCTTAGCAACAGTGTAGAAACATTCCAAAAACAATTTAGCTTAGAAACCACATAGAACATCATAGCAACAACACAGAAACATGCCAGACACATTTGACCTTAGCAACAGCCTGGAACACCCTAGCAACAGCGAAAAAACATGCCGAAACATTTCATCTTAGTAAAAGCCTAGAACACCCTAGCAACAACACAGAAACATGGCAAAAACAATTCACCTTAGCAACCACCTAGAACACCCTAGCAACTGCACAGAAACATTCCAAAAGCAATTGACCTTAGCAACCACCTAGAACATGCTGGCAACAGCATAGAACCATGCCAAAAACAATTCACCTTAGCAACCACTTAGAACATCCTAGCAACAGCACAAAAACATGCCAAAAAACATTTAAAACACCTTAGCAATGACCTAGAATGCCCTAGCAACAGCACAGAAACATGCCAAAATCAATTCACCTTAGCAACCGCCTAGAACACTCTATCAACAGCATAGAAACATGCCAAAAACAATTAACCTTAGCAAACACCAAGAACACCTTAGCAACAGCATAGAAACATGCTAGTAAAAAGAAAAAAAAAAACGCGTCAGCATTCATGTAGCAATCAACCTAGCAACTACTTAGGAATCAGTACAGAAACATGCTAAAACCAATCAGAGCACCTTAGCAAGTGCGTAACAACAACCCCAGCAATCTCATATAAACATGCAAAAAAACATTCAGAACACATTAGCAACCACCTAGAACACCCTAGCAACAGCATAGAAACACACCTAAAACCATTCAGAACACCTTAGAACACCCCTAACACTATGAGAGTGAGTTTTGAGCATTTTCTTCACAAAAAGTAAACTATCTAGCTAATACGGTCACTTTGCGGCTGAAGTCAGCTCTAACATGACCTGCATTTTTAATAGCAGCCTATAAAAATGGAGAGCAGAAGAATTTCTTAGCCTGTCAGTCTGATATTCTGGAACAATCCGAGGACCTGAAGAGAGTGAGAAGCAATTAGCAGGTGGAATTTAGCCCAGCATAGAGAGGTGTATTTTAAGAAAGGTTAGAGCTGATGGGGGACACGTCTTAAGGACATTAAGGAAGATTGGCCACTTCTTCTTGGTTCACTGATCCAATTGCATATTAATATCTTTGATTTCATTATTATTCCAATATCCTCCAATGAGACTGGAATGTAATATCGGAGTGCCCTCCTCTGGATAGAAAACAGTATCATGGCTGCACACTCAGGCTGGATGCCAGTATATCAAAACTATAACCAATCCGATCCGAATCCACCGTGACATCACGGAATAACTTATAGCTCTATTTCCCAGGTTTTGAAGTTGATCTGATAAAAAAGTGTCAAAAACACACTGAGACAGACCTGGTATTAAATTAACTAGATGTTATAGAGCTTAAAATCACTCATCACAATGCAGAGCACGATATCATGCTGTTAAAACACTAAATCAAAGCTTTTACAGTAAATCCCAACATCATTCAGTATTTTAAGCCGCCTTTTTTCTCTTCTGCCATCATGAGAATAAAGTCTCTGAGTGCAGTATTTATGTTGAACTAGATTCCTCCTTGTGCACTGTGCACTCAAAACACACAGATCTATCTGCAATTAACCGCAAATGTATGGTGGCAATTAACCTTATAGATTGTAATTAACACTTTTGCTGGTTTAAACCACTAATTTTACAGCATTTTAATTAATGTAGATCTCCCTCCGACAGACTACTATTTGCCGTCTCACCCTTTCGTAATGAACACAGAGAAAAGCTGCAAGGGTTATGTTCTGTAGGCACGACATCTAACTTCATATCTTTGTATTATCAAAACTATTTACAGTCTTTCCTCATTGACTGAGCACACAAAACCAAACACTTAGATACATTCAGATACAGCTGTACAAAAAAGCAATGGTCCGTCACACCTGAAACAATTTTGATCTCCTATTCAGATTCTGAGTCTGTCTCCTGCTGGTTTAAGATTTCATCTCACATCTAGCATCATTAATAGCTACTGCTTCTTCATACTGTCCTCTGCTAAATCCATTTCATTCTATTTACGGAGTACTCTGCTCATCTCTTCATAACTGACATACAAATAAATATTTAGAACTGTTTGGATCGGGGAGTGACTGATATATAGTCAAACTTGTATCTGCATGGCCAGCACTGTAATCGAGAGAACAAACAGTTCAGAAAAGAACAAGTAAATATCAGTTTGTTGCATATATAATGGGTGAGAATAGAGCAGAAGTAAAAATCCTGTTCATTTTCTCCATAGAGAAACTGATGCTCAACAATAACATAAACCTTTCAAAACAGACCTACTATGAGCTCTGAGGTTGTTAATGGGTGATATATGTGCCTGTAAGTGTGATTTCAGTCGAGTTTAATTGCAAAATTCCCAGTGAAGAACTAAACTACCCATAATTCTGAAGACACCAATTGCTGGTACCATGAAAACGTAAATCGTTGCAAAAGAGATTCCCTCCCATGAAGCACTGAGAATGATGTAACTGAGCCTCTCAAACTACTTGAATATAAATAAATGAATACAAATTTTGCAATAAACTTAATATACTGCTTTTATATTTATGCATTAGAGTTTTATGAGTTTTGATTCAGTTGCGAAATTCACAATGTTTAGATAAAGTACACAGGCATATACACCACTTTTCAAAAGTTTGGGGTCAGTAAGATTTCTTAAAAAGTCTCTTATGCTATCAAGTCTGCACTTATTTCATCAAAAATACAGTAAAAATAGTAATATTGTGAAATATTTTTACAATTTAAAACAACAGTTTTCTATTTTAATATACTCTAAAAATTATTTTAAAACATTTTTATTTGAATTATTTTCAATTATTTTTAAATATTTTTAATTTATTCATAAGATGTCAAAGCTGAATTTTCAGCAGCCCTTACTGCAGTCTTCAGTTTCCCATGATCCTTCAGAAATCATTCTAATGTGTTGATTTGTGCTCAATAAACATTTCTTGTTATTATCAATGTTGAAAACAGTTGTGCTGCAATATTTTAGTGAAAACCAAAGGAGATTATTTTATAAACAGTTCAAAAGAACAGCATTTATCTGAAATTTTGAAATATAAACAAATACATAAAGAGGTTACAGCTACTTTTGATTAATTTTATATATCCTTGCTGAATAAAAGTATTAATTTCTTTCAAAAAAAGACCACAAACTTTTTGAACATTACTGGCCCCAAACTTTTGAACAGTACTATATCTTTTGTCCTTTTCAGGTTTGTATTGTGGTCATTCATCTCAGAGTTGGTTGGTTTAGTTCATGGCTTTACTGATTTTTTTTTTTTTTAATCACAATGAAGAAAATGAATGGGAACAATATGAACCAAGTGTGAAAAATGTGGGCATTCACAGTTGCGCTCCACAGCCAAAGACCCTTTAAATAGCTAATACTTTTTCCTGAAGTCAACTTACTATACAATGCTAGTAAAGAGTAAAGATTTCTTGCACGAAAAATGCACCTCAGAACCTGCACTGTTTTTGCTACTGTACATTTAACACCTCCGTATGTAAATGACCTCTGTTATTACTGGCTTCTTTGCAGGCAAAAAAAATCTAATCTTCAAATATACAAGAAAAAACACTTTCCATTATATATTTTCCATATAACCTCTTTAAAACTCCTCGCCAACCATTCCTTATGGAATGTGAAGCATTATCCACTGAAGTCGGTCATTCTGTGGGTGATAAAGAATGACAGTCTTACCTTCAGGAGCGTCTGCGTCACATATCTTAGTGATGGCAGTGGAGTAATTGCCTTGTGATGGGTCTGCTGTGGGCAGCGGGGTCTGGGGACAAAAAAAAAAAAAAACCAATAAGCCCAATCTGATCTATGGAACAGGACTCTAAATGCATGCAAGTTAAACATAAGAAATATGCTTTAGTTTTTTACATAAGTATATGTAAGGACATTACCACTGTAACAGCAGATATGATATTTGTCTTTTTTTTATGTTCACCTAATAAGCAGTTGAGCACAGTTTAGTCATTTTAAAGACTTGATTCATAATTGAACCCAACTGACATAATTTCCTTCAGTAAACTAGTGCTAACACAACACAGACTAGAGTGAGTATAAACAACATTTATATTTCTCTCTTACAAGAATATTGATAACAAAGCAAAGCAAAAAAAAAAGTTGTGACTGACTCATTCTGCATAATTTTATTTGACACGTACTAATTATAAGAGGCAGACTGACTCATAAGCTTTTTGGGTTATTACATTATGGGAAAGTGTTCAGAAATACAATTACAGTTTGAATTAGAGATAATGCATTGCTGTTTATGCTGGATGATGAAATGAGTAAACCTAATTGTTAAAAGTAAATATATGAGCTATCTAGGTGTAATTATGAGTCTAATAATTATTTTTAATTATATAAAAATCAGATTCATACTGAAAGTCTCCACTTTTTCACCATTTACTATTGCACGAATTTAAAAGTGACTCTATTTACTTTCTTAATACACAGTGTCCTTGTTGTATTATGCAGGATTTATTTATCTAGTATTAATATACTTATATTTATATGTGCTATTTACACAATATATATTTTTTATTATATTATTGCAGATGTTTCAGTGACTGATATTTCTTCTTTGAGGACTCTTATGAGCATAAAATTGACTTTCCCTAAAAAAAATTTCTCACTGTGTGTGCCAAAATTGAAACAAGATATATAAATAATACAAATAATAAAATATGAAATATTTCTAAAAATAACAATTTAATAAATAAATAAATATTTAATAAAATTAAATAATACAAATTTAATATTAGCTAAAATAATATTTTATTTTTCATCACAAATCCAAATCTAATGCAAACTACTGTTTACATTTTTAGCTACTAAAAATTACTGTTCTATAAATTTCTTGGAACTGCGCTTCGGTAAATTACTCTTCCTACCATTCCAATTTAAATTCCAATTCTGTATCCTGTTCGCTACATCAATTCCAATTCAGAAATTTAATTGGAATTTAAAAAAACATCCTCAATTCAATTCTGCATGGCGCACAACCCTGCAAAACATGTATTTCATTTATGCTTATTCCAGTATTTACATCCAACGCTGCAGAGGGGCGAAGGATGGATGTAATTGGTCAGATTTCAACACATGCTGTGATGTTTACTGAGTAGAACAGGTTTGATCTTGCCGCGAGCTGTTCTTCCTTCTCTGTCCTTAGCAGACGATTTGCCCCATCAGACTTCTGACAGCTTGTCAGCCTCACAGCAAATTACTCTTCATTTGAGCTTGTATTTACGTAAAGGCAGCATAAATTTAGGATGTAATCAAATGGGATAAAATGCACCACTGGACAGATTCAGAATGACTGCCCTTCCAGAAAGTGAAGAGAAATCATATTTGATTGATGAAGAGTTTGTCAGTTTCAGCCACAGTCTCCCATGGATCGTTCACAGTCTGTTCAGTGACCACCTGATGCATTGTGTGCATAAAAATGGCAAGCGCTGACTGAAACTGCCAGGTCAACCTAGATTGGAAGGCTTTATCTAACTTTCTGATGAGTTTTTTTCCTTCATATTCTATTACTGTGGTATAATTTAGCACATAAAAACATGAAAAAAGTGTATTCAAAGGCATCACATCTAGGTCTGAAGGTCTCTTCCTGTCTAAGTGGGTGCTTCTTGGCTAGAATAACCTGACCAGATTTTGTGCCAAAAGTTGATCAGCAGTTGCTAGGCTACATATGGCAAGATGTATAGATTCACAGTTAAAAACATGCAGGCAAGTTTTCACACTTAATATGATCAGGTCAAACCTCATATGAATGTACAGACCTTCGAAGAAGCAAAAAGAAATACATAGCAGATGCAGGAAGGCCTTTAATGGGTTTTGAAGGGAGTCGGGAGAGAAGGTTTTGAAAGGCTTTCAAACACTTGCTTTGTAAAGGGTTGATCATTACATACTTATGTCACCAGCGTGGGCCCTGTTTGCTCAGAATACGACAGTTGTAATCCTGTAATCCTGATGGCGTGCAGCACAGGGGATTGACTGTTACACAAACAAACCCACATCTCACCTGCAGCAGGTATTTCTGGCTGCCGTACATGACGTATTGCGGGGCCAGACTGTAGATCATGTAGCTGGTGTGGAGAACGATGAGGAGGAGGATCATGCAGAGGAAGAGGAGGGCCTGCGGTCGGGTTCTCTGAGGCCTGATTTTATACAGCTGCACAAAAAGAAACAAAAACATCCTTATATTTCTCATACGACCAAGTACTACGAGTGTACAGTACTCTGAACCGCAGAAATGCTCTATACAAATAATGTTGCATTAAGAGCAACAAAAACAAGGATAGATATAGCAGAACTGCAATAATGGAATCTTTCAAAACAGAGGGTCAAAACATTTTTCCAAGTAAAAGGTGTAATTATGGCACAAGGTAAAATTGCTGAAATTAATAATCAGAATTCTTCAAAGTAATTTTCCTAAGCCAGGTGCCTCGGTACATTACTAAAGTCTGCTACACAATCCTTGCCCAATATTTTATGTTGGATTTGTAATGAAAAACCAAGTATTATTGAAATTAATTGTTATTAATAAATTAAATATTTATTGTTTTACACAGTGTATCAGTATTTTGTTTCAGTTTTTATATACAGTACAGCAAATCAGCACATTAGAATTAATTCTGAAGGATCATGTGACAAGACTTAAGTAATGATGCTGAAAATTCAGGTTTGCATCAAAGGAACAAATTACATTTTTAAATATATTAAAATAGAAAAGTTATTTTAAATTGTAAAACTATTTCACAATATTACAGTTTTTATTGTATTTCGAGCACATAAATGCAGCCTTGGTGAGCATAAAAGAATTTTTTCAAACTTTTGACAAGTACTGTATAAGGTTTAATATACACCATATTTATTGTTGATATATTATATGAAATTGTTTTTAAAAAATCTAGTAGAAAAAAAGGGAAATTACTGTTGTTATTTTTTGTAATGAAAAGTATTATTTTTTAATGTAAATATGTATTATATAAAATATATATTATGAACTGAATTTATATATAAACACAAATCAGCATATAACTTATAAAATAGTATTTAAAAAAAAAACTGTCAGAAAGAAAGAGGAAGTTTTTGCAGTCTCAGTGTACTTAAATTTTGCCTAGACAAACTAAATGGCCAAATTTGATCATTAAAATTCAGTACAACAACACTCATGCCGGCATAAAAATGCTTAATAAAGCAGATGAATGAAATATGGGGATTGGGGGGTGGGTTGACTGTTGTGTCTCACCCGTATCCAGAAGAACCAAATCCCCATGTTACGGATCCCAGCCATGGAAGTGAAGACAAAGTACATGGTGATGATGGTGATAAGAACATAGTCCAGTGGGAAAACCTGAAGAAAGAAGAGAAAAATCAACCAGTTTTGGACGACAACTTGATCTATTTCAGCCATTCACCAGGGCTACTATGCAGTCTCTTATTCATCTCCACACAACACACACTTTTCAGGCCTGAGTGTCAACTAAAAGAACCATTACCCTGACAATGAAGATGGCTGGAAGGCCATGACAGTGTTGTCCACTTTCACTGCCTTTTTCTTTGTGTACCAGAGTGGTTTTCAGAGTAAGTGATGCATGTTTCACAAACCACACAATGCTGGAGGCACAAAAGAGATATATATATATACACTCTCACTTTCAGCGGTGGCCTAAAATACTGTCACTCCTGTGCTAGAGATGTATTGCTCCACAACTCTGAGGTGATCTTTCAGCAATCCTGACTATTTTAAATGCATTTCATCTCAAAAGAGCCACGGGAAGCACATGGCAGAACTGTTTGAAAGTCAAGCTAAAAATGATCTTTGAAAAATTAAATGATCCTGTTCCTGGAAGAGCTGTTGGCTCGTAGAAACAGCAATGCCTCTTCTGTTGGCAGCTTGTCCTCCATAACTCCACTTGAGCTGAAATGAGCAAAACACACACTGAACTTACCTGTTGGCCTCACATCGCAGACGGAAAATGGTCAGTGACATCATGAAGTACAAATTAGAAATGTTTCTGGAAGCATGAGCAATAATTCTCCGGCCTGCATGTCTTATCCTTTTGCAAATTACTTTTCTTTTTCCCTTTTCACTTGGCCTAATTGCAGAAATCAATGGTCTGGATTTCTGAACAATTTGGTTTAATCAAGCCATCTTAATTAGCGAGTGAAACAAGTGATCATATTTTATTCAAGCACATGGAAACTGATCACTGTGCTACTTGAAGTATATTGAAGGATTTGAAATCTCTTCCAAAAGCACTAAATGATGAAAAGCACACTTATTTCTGATTCATAAATAGCGCTTAATTCAGAGGTCATCACATCTTTTTATGTGGCAAGCGGCCACAGACTACAGACAGAGTGATAAACTGTTCAGTGTCTTTTATTTTATTTCAAGGATTTGGACATTGTCATACTTGCAGATTGCGGTGCAGTGTCATCACATTTCCTGGTTTCTTTTGAGCAGCTAAGATACATAAATGCAAACACAAATGAACCTGAAACTACAACTGTCAAGCATTATGAATCTCAGACACACGGCCTTGAAATGAGCTTAAAATCTGATTGAGGTGAATGTTTAGTCAGACCCAGTGAAATGCATATCTAAATGGTGCTGATTTCTTTAAGTAGCACAAAAACATGAGGGTACGGTTCCAATTTTAACCTGTAAAGAAGAGTGAGTCAAGAATATGTTGAAAAATTATGTTGGGCTTCACTGTCTACACAAATCGATTCTACATTCAAATCTACCTAATACGAATTTATTCTTTGAGAATGTTTTACACTTAAGCAATACAGCCTAATTAGAGGTAGTAAACTGATATTGATGATGTACACTGCCGGCCAAAAATGTTTGAGTAAATTTGTTTTTCATGATGGTAAAAACCTTTTGATCTGCCAGCTTTTGCTTGAATACTTTCAGAAGAAAGTGAAAACGGTAGTGTATGAATTTCTTTAGAAAACAAAGTTTTAAATTATTTTTTGTTGGAAAACTTAGTTATTATTAAACATTAAAAAGTTGAAGAAGAAAAGCAGCCAACAAAGGCACATATGTGAAACTCTTCAATACTGCTTTAAAAGCATCTCATGATGCCCTTCGTGAAGTTTATTTAACATTTATTGGCCACTACATAATTATCATGCTTGAATTTTTGCTATTTTATAGTTTTTCATTCAAATATGAAGAAACATTAAAAATAGCAAAAATATGGAACGAGTAGGTGTGTCCAAACTTTTGATTGACAGTGTGCACTTGCCAATTAGAGAATAATGCTGCTTGTCTTGGCAGAAATTGTCTACGGTGAGCAGATCGCATTCTTCACATCTCTTGTGACAGGCGCAAGCAAGTGCTATTCTGCTACTAAGTTTTGTAGTAAAGCCAAAGCGAACAATGCTTTCCATTTCTGGTACATTATCCTCCCGCGTCATTACACAACTCTGGTTGCACACAACTGTCACTAGCACTCATGTCGAGGACACAAACGTAACGTGATTCTGAGACAAAAGAAAAAAATAATGCTGCTCACCGGTTGCAGTGCCAGCAGTAGCTCATTAAGAGGGTTGATTAGTTTGGTCCCAAAGATGATAAATCCAGTGCTGATACCAGCTGAATGTAAAGCCTTATCCAGACTGCAACAAGACAAACACATTTAACAACATCATCACATAAGAGAATGAATTAAAAACATCATTAACTACAGTTCTCCATGGTCTGCTATAGAATGATGGTAGATTATTGTAAGTGTGAGCCAATTTACAGCGCTGCAGGTGTTGATGAATGTGTGTGTACAATAACAACAGATTTATGGTTACTCCAGCACTGAATCAAAGTGTCCCTCAAATGCACTGTGCTCTGAGGGGATGCCATTCTTTCTGTGCATTTCAACGCGGTGAGTCATTTGTTGGTAAAATGTGAACGTGTGTATGTAAGAAAAATTATTTAAATGGGGTAGAGTCTGCTATCAAAGTGATATTTTGCACAGGTTGATGGAACTTACTTGGAAATAAACAAGGTGATGAAGAACAAAAGGGCCACCAGGATGAAGAAGACCCCGAGCAAGATCTGACAAGACAAAAAAAAGAGGAAAAGTTACAAAAGTGTTGGACAAACTACTTTAAAAGTTTAGTAACTTTATTTTAAAAACTAGTGGAATATCCCAAAATTGCAAAGCACAACCATAGAAAATATGCAAAAAAAAAAAAAAACCATGACAGATTAAAAAATAAAATGTGCTGCTTAATATTTTTGTGGAAACCTTGATACGTATTTAATGAATAGAAAGAACAGCATTTATTTCAAATGGAAATTTGTTGTAACAATGTAAAAGTCTTTAATGTTACTTTTGATTGATGAAATTAATTGAAAATAACAATGGCAAACAGACATTTTTAACTAAACTTTCATTATGCTACAAAATAAGTGATGCAAACAAAAAAAACAAACAAAAAAACTAATCATAATTTACTGATCCATTCTAAACTGAATTTTTTTCTTCCACTATGAATAATGAATAATGAACTGGTTGCTTGTTTCCATGCAATTATACTGAATGAGAAAAGAGCAGAAAAATGGAAAAGCTTCACAAAAGGCATAAAATTACCATAAAACTAGTCCACATGACTTATGCACTAGCTATATTCCAAGTCGTCTGAAGTCATATAAAGATATAGGATAGTTCCTCACAGAAAGTATAGATTAGCTATAGTGCATGATTCATATGGATGACTTTGATGATACTTTTATTGTGTTTTTAGTCATTGTGGAGCTTGACGGCCCCAGTCCTCATTTACTTTCATAATGCTGAAAAGAGTTGCCTGAATGTTCTTCAAAAATTTAGAAGAAAGAAATGCGGGATTAGTGCGAAATGGGAGTGAGTAAAATTACAGAATTTTCATTTTAGGAGGAACTGTACCTTTAAATTAATCAGTGAATTGATTCTGTTGAAGCGGTTCGTTTGAATGCCTGAACGAACTGATTCAATACTGCTTAGTAACTCCTCAACACTAATTTACGAACACACATATACAGGTGCATCTCAATAAATTAGAATGTCGTGGAAAAGTTCATTTATTTCAGTAATTCAACTCAAATTGTGAAACTCGTGTATTAAATAAATTAAATGCACACAGAGCAAACAAAAATATACACTTCAGCACCAAATGTTTGTGCAGAGGACTGAAACTCCCTATTGGTCCATCATGTCTAACCCAGAGGTCGAGTTGTTTTTTTACACATGGCCATATGGTGCGACCCACCTCAGACTGACACAGTCGCCAAGAGTAATATGGACGACATGGTCACAAGCTCTCTAAATAAGGAACAGACTGAACTGCAGAGAAAAGAGTAAATGAACAAAGACGGAGACGCAAACACTCACAACCCACAAAGCAAAACAAAACCAATATGCCAGACTGAACGGCTGCCTTTGACTGGCCTCCCGGAGCTCACGTCTGCTTGACTTGACTTGAGGGAGTAAACAAAACCCTGACGTGTGCAGTAATCACTCCAGATTTTCACAAAACAAAGGAAAAGAGGTGGCAAAAAGAAAAAAAAAAGAAGAAAAAACAAATTTAGAACAAGCGGAAAATACTTTATAGAGACATAAAAGATGGACACATCACTCTATCTATCTATCTATCTATCTATCTATCTATCTATCTATTTTGAGAGCAGCTCCTCTATAAAAATACAGAATACATATTCCACATTTATGCTAACATTGTTTTATGCAATAATTACATAACTAGAAATGTTTAGACCAAACAATGCTAATACCAACTCTGACTCCTAACGAACATTCACAAAAGCAAGTGACATACGCATTAGACACACATTTCCCTCAAGAACAATATGACAGATTGTGAACTGTAGCGAGAACATAGATTTGTAAATGAGCGTGAATCCTCCTTCGAGACATAATCTATAACTAATTCAAACGAATGACTGCGAGTTATTAGTGATGCTAGAAATACGCTTTGTGGTTAAAAACACAGCTGGAGCTATTGTAAGAGTATATTAGGAATTTATGTCTCAAGCTGTTGCTGTAACACCAATAATAAACGCTTGCAGTTATAGCTGTAATAACCGTGACAGCCAGAGCTTTAACTTTACAGAAAGGAGTACATTAATAACAAAAGTTACAGCATCAAGCAATTCATTATTCAGCATGCCGTCAGCTACACAACAAAACCACAGCCTTCAATATAGAGCATAAACACAGCTACCTAAACTCATGTGTGCCTGTTTTAAGTTCCTTTAGGAAGGTACCTACATGAGGTTACATGTCAACATGTTTTTTCCTGTGTTATTGTTCCCCTTAGAGAGGCCTGGTGGACCACCACAACTGTCAAAGACATTTCCACAACCATCTACTCAAACATCATGCCCACAAAAGTAGAAAAAATATCATAAATAAAAGAAATAAAGAGGCAATTTTTAGAGGCAAAATTATGCCAAATTTAAACGGTAAAAAGCACTTCTGAAGTGGCATTTAGGTGTCTTTACACAGACTGTTTAATGCTGCTCAGAGGTGGTTTAAATGCATTTAAACAGCAATTACAATTGTATACTTTGATACTCGGAGCTGAGGTGGGTCTGAGCAAGCATAATTTAGTCTGTCAATTGATCCAGCATTTATACTAAATTTTGAGCAGGGCACAGAGCAAAGGTGTAAAGGTGCCTTTAAATGCAAAAGAGAGCAAAATAGAACACAATGTACCACAAAATAGAACACAATCTCCAAAATAGAACACAATTTACCGATGAATATATAACATCAAAGCTGATAAAGTGTTAAGGATGCTTATTTGCCTTGAGGAAGGTACAGAAATGGTTAACTTTTCTCATCTCTTTGTTTATTTCACATTTTGCACAATTTCAGGCTCTGTTTGTTTATCTATATCAATTTTACATCTGCAGTGGCTTGTTTCCCCATTTTTGGCTATAACAGACCGCTCAAGGCCCCTGGCAGTCAGAAGCCCCTGGTCACACTGGCCTGGTCCATAATCGTCCTTGCTCTGAGCTCTGCCAAGGGCTGCTTTATCAGGGCACTGTCTGAAAGTGCATTACGGGAGAGATTTTTTAATATCCTTTGAATGATAATGAGAGTCTCTATAGGTATCACACATGCACAGGCTTCATAAACAGGTTTATTTCATTTTATAATTGGACTCGCGACCACCTGCCACTGCCGTCATTCCCGGGGTCTGCTGGGTTCTAATGTGCAAACCTCTTGATACGTGTGGAACTGCGCGCACATCTACTACAGCTCTACAGTTACAAGCGAACCACCGTGACGACTATACGTATAGATCCGGCGTGCTCGTTACTTGTCGCAAAGGGAGGAAATATGGGCAATTTGCATGGTAAGTGTTGTGTTTCATCTTCTCGAGGCTCATTAAAAAACCTAAGCACCTCCAATTCACCACTTTCAATTTTCCGAACCAATTTCCGCTGCAGATGAAACGGTAAACACAATAATTAAAATCAATCAAACTTAATCAATCAATCTGATACAGAATTTAGGTCAATTAACCTGCTCTCTTAATGGAATCAATCACATCTGCCGGGTCCACATTAAAGGGTAATAGAAGTGTGGGTTCATGTGTATGTGTACGCACATTCATGTGTGCGATCTATTAGTCTGTGCTGCCAGCTGAATTTATCTAAACTCATCAACAGGGACTCACATGTATCAAATCGCCCCATTGGACCACCCATGCAACAGTTAACACACCACCCACTCACTTTCTACAGCCGCACGACTCTATTACGTAACACCTTTGGCTATTGCAGCAAGGCGCATGGAAACATGCTGAATATCAGTACACATGTTGTGTTCGTGACAACAAAGTAAACGTGAGACTTTGCAGCAGGGAGCGTGAATCGAGCCTGAGAATGGCCCTTGGAGAATATGAAGAGGAGATGCTGACCTCAGATAGATTTAAATGCTCTGAAAACCTTTGCACTAAATCGTTAAATTTGCACTGTAAATCAAAGACAAATGCTAAAACAAGCGCAGTGCATCATGTCAGCGTAAACGAGGTGCAGTGACTGATGGAAAGATCCATTTGGCAGACAGATTCCTCTCAGTATGCATTTCCCCCGAAGCTCTTATGGGAAAATTAGTAAATCTCAAGCCTAGTTTAGGTATAAATAGAGTCTGGAGTCTATCATTAGAGTGCCATGTTCATGTCTGCTGCTAGTGGGCCGCTAAAGACAGAAACGAGGAAGCCCTTTGGTGCAGAGCATGCTGGGAGAAGAAACGATGCAAAGAATAACAGCAAATGTATGAAAGACGACAAACATTTTAAAGATAGGCTAGAGGAGTGCAGAAGGTTTGTGACAATCACAGCTATTTTGTGCATCACTATGTATATTTAAAGGGACAGTTCTCTGTAAAATGGAAATCCTGTCATCATTTACTCATCCACATTTTGCTATTTTCAAGCTTAATAGCCTCAGTTTACATGAATAGGCAGGATACTCTTTAATCATCACTTTTTGTGTCCCATAGGAGAAAGAAAAGTCGTAATAGAGCATGTTAGCATATGGCTTTTAACAAGGCCAAGGTCTCAATGAGCACACATATTGAAAAAGAGCTGGAAAAATAAATAAATAGAAATATTATATATTCAATAAAAAATGGCTTCATTAGCTGCACGAAAGCAAAGCAATAAGGTGAAATAATGCATCTAGCAAAGTGGTTGCTCAGTTTGGCAAATCTGTGCCAAGGTGATAAAACCCAAAGGTTTTCTTGATTTTCTAGGGAATATGTGTTGGCATTCAAATGAAGTCATAATGTATGAGTTACATCAAAGTCACCATGAAAATTAATTTCCTTCACACCTCCCCCTTGATAGACTTTTCAAGATAGGATAATGGCATAATGGAACAATTAATTAGGAAGATGACGAAAATGCTTGAAAAAACATCAAAAGGGAAAAGAAGAATATAAATGGTAAGTGTTATATAGTATATATAAGTCTAAGCTTATATATAAAACATTTATGTAAATCATACTTTATGCAACTGTTCTGAAACTTTAGAATGATTTTATTACCAAACCAAAGGAATGTTTTAAAGTAAACATAAAACAGCACCTGCAACCCATTTTACTTCCATAATGTAATGTATTTACAAGTGAAACAGAAAAATTCAAACAGACCTGAATGAGAGTTTGCAGACAGCATCTAAATTTATTTACCATTATTACATTAACCTACATTAAATAAATGGTAGCAGCCATTAAATTACCGGATTATTAAACTGGCAAGATTTAAATTTTAAACTTGATTTAAACTCGACATTTATAACAATGTCGAAATAGCTATTTGGCTATTAGTTAACCTTAACAAAAAACAACAACAGTATAAAGAAAGAAAAGTTATTTCAGATGCAGAAAAACATTCTGATAAAGAGCAGGAACACTTATTGTGTTATTACAGTCAACAGCTTTTTATTTTTTTGAAGAGGTTTGTCATAATTTAGTCTTTCTCTCACTCTAAGAATTAAAACAATTTTGTGCCACCTTATTAAAATAAACTCCAGCCCCATTTTTAATGCAAGAATTTACATTTATATTTATGCATTTGGCAGACACTTTTACATAGTCTTGAAAGTTTACATTTGATCAGTTCATGCATTCCCTTTCTGAACAATGAACAGTGAATGTGAAAATGTGGCTGCTCGCATGTTTTAAATTGTCAGAAAGTTGTACAAATTCATAACCAGCCATCTTAAGTTTCAATAGATGGTCTCTTTGAGATGTTTAAAAAATAAAAAAAAATGTTTTTAGAGTACACTGAACTAAAAAAAAAAAAAAAAAAGTAATTTCAAAAAGATCATAGAAAATTGGATTTCTTTTTGCATGACCTCTGTGATTATAAGCAAAACACGCAGCACAACTGTCACAAACAGAACCACATCAATGTGGCCAATCAGGAGTTGTTGAAACTGCAAAAGGCACATGTAGAAAGTCAATAAAGTTCATCTGAGGCAAAACTCAACCTACCTTCATAGGACGGAGAGCAGAGCCCACTTTATTGCAGCAGGTCCTCTCTGCGATCTCCAGGTGACGGCCCCGCCGATGCAACACCTGTAGTTTAGCGTCAAGATCCTGGAGGTTCCTCTGGTCTCTCATAGAGAGAGGACGCCCATCAGCACACTGAAGAAAAAAGTACAAAATTGCTTATTGCATAAAAATACATCATACTGGTTTTTATAATACGAGTATGGTTTCAGCAAATTAGCTACCACAAAAAGATGAAGCTGGTACAAACCATTGTTTATCCTTGTTTACATTTATGCATTTGGTGATTCAATTAAAAGATATACTGTTACAGCTACAGGTTTGTTTGTAAACCAATATTTAGTGTGGTCTGGGTCATATTTTCCTTTAGCTTATGCAGTTCTGTTCATGGTTTATGCAGACAAAGGATGTCATATAACCTAACCATGTTGGCCTCTACCTAATTTTTGCCAAAACACTGTACAACCTTTGACACCAACATATAGGAAGATATGGAAAGAGTTTTCTCCTTCCTTTTAAGCCTTTTTATTTTACTATCTTAACTACACTACTGTCCAAACATCTGGGTGTCAGTAAGACTCTTACACTCACCCAGGCTGCAATTATTAGATACAAAAATACAGTAAAATCCATAATAATATTGTGAAATACTATTATAATTTAAAATAACTATTTTCTATTTTAACATTTTAAAATGCTTATTCCTACGATGCAAAGCTGAATTTTCAGCATCATTACTCCAGTCTTCAGTCACATGATCCTTCAGAAATCATTCTAATATGCTGATTTGCTGCTCAAAAACATTTATTATCTTATTATCAATGTTGAAAACAGTACTTTACTGTCATTTTTGATCAGTTTAATGCATCTTTGCTGAATAAAAGTATTAAAAGTATCCCAAACTTTTGAACAGTATTATATAAATTGCATTCTTTATTTGCATCTGTTGACAATCCTCAGATCAATTTTGGGTCGAGACCCACCAGTTGAGAACCACTGACCTCAAGGACAGCAACGGACAAGCAGCTCATCTTAAATAAAGTGAGCAGAGCTCCGATATGAATTCAATTCACACACACAGAGACCTTGGCTTTGAGCTTGTCTATCTGGTGCTCCACCTCCTCCATATCTTCAGTGTTCTCCAGCCGCTCGTACAGGATGCTGCGCGTGCCTTTAATCAGGTTCAGTGGCAGGACGGACATCCCGTACGCCTGACATGGAGAAAGAAAGAGCATTAAAGACCAATTATACACCATTCACAGTCATCAGGGAGAGTGCCACCACAATTTCACCAAGAGTCCCGCCGAACGCCTCTAAGTGCCACTGTGCAGGGGAACTAAATCCATACATTATGGCACTTGATAATAAAAGAGCACTTTCTAAATGATGTCATTCAGAAGCCCACTGAATCCATGTATGTGTTTTCTGTGCAATGAGGGTGAAGAAGAGGAGATGAAAAGAGTGTGAGAGTGTGTGCTTGTATGCAGCGACCATTTTGAGATGTACGGCTTGATTTCCTGCAATGCACAGCCTAACAGTGCCCCCATGTGACGGCACGAAGGGCACTTTCACATGCACAGTGCATCAGAGAAGAAATATCTGAGCTCATGTAAGGAAATATGATAAAACCCTGCAGTTTCTGAGGGCCGTAAATCAGAGGTTATTTCAACATCCTGAGCTCATTGATGTTTTTTTTTTCCATCTTGGCATTAGGAAGTGCAGGTCTTACACAGTGAGCAGAGAAAGGCTTGGGTCAGAAGCCTGCTAGCCTTCTCAATATGGGCTTTGCGAACTTTAATTAAAAATAAAGACCATCTTCAATACTCTCCTGGTGGCAAATCAATACAGGCAGAGAATAAAAGAGACCAGGTTGTGCGTACACACACACCACGAGAAAAATGCACCCACATTTGTGAGGTTCTGCCATTTTCAAAAGCTTTCATATCAAAATGCTGACAAAAATCAGCGGCACAATTAGATCTTCAGAAGGCGACTAAAACACTGGTGACCTTTTTATCTTCTCTGCCGAAGATGGCTTTTAAAGCAGGGAAAGTGACATGCTCTGTAAAACTCGTCGTTTGCTAGAGTCAAGCCGAGTGCGTGCGTGCATGCATGCATCCATCGCCACGGGCCGTGACACCCTCTGCTATGAATCACGAGGGCTCTAAAGGCCGGACCATGTCCCGAATACCAAGCGCTCCTAATAAAAGAGGAATCTGTCCTGCAGCCCCAGTGAGACATCTCCTCCTCCTTTGCCTCCTCTTTCCCATTCTTTCCTGCCCTCCTCGCCCCTGCAGTCCATCAAGCGTGAGAAAAATAAAAAAAGACACTCCAAACAAAAACAGGTGTGTTCTGTGCTGATTGGAAAAGGAGACCCGAGGCAGGAGACAGAGAGAGAGTATGATACTTTGAGAAGGAGGGCGAAGAGAAAGAGAAAAAGAGGAAAGGTGGAGAGATGGAAGATGAAGGGGTTGTGGTTGTCAGCTGGGAGATCGGAGGAGAGAGGGATGAAAGTGGGGATCGGAGAGAGAGAAAGAGGAGCAAAAGTGGAGGCGTACACCCCCTTACACAAGGATGCTTTTGTTCAAAGTGTGTGCTTTTTGTGGCTTTGCAAACAAAAAAAAACATCTAGATAACAAAATATTTAAACCAAATTCTATTTTAATCTATTATTAAAAAATTGAGTTATTTAGTGTTTTGAGAATAATCTCATAATACTCATTTTTGTAAAAATAAAGTTCTAGATAATGAAGTCATAACATTGCTCCCCCATGCTTTCAGAAATAGCTTGTGGAGATGGTCTCTGTTTTAAACCTTGAAAAAATTCGGCTTAACGAATCAAAGTCTCTTAATTTTTCCAAGGTCTGGGGTCCCTTCCTCCAACATTTACATAATAGTAGAACTTCTTATACTGTTATACCATGATTTTTGTGGTGATTTTTGTCCCTGTCCTTCCGTGATTTATATTCATTTTATGTATTTTATTTAGGCATTTTTGTAATTTATAAATTCGTCTGGCTTTTTTTTTTTGGGTGGGGGCTCAGGTTGTTTGATTGTTGTTGTTATTAAACGAAAAAAATGCAAACAGATGTATGGAGAATTCAGCATGCATTAAGCAATGGTCTTCTGCCAGATGGTGTTTCAGTGTTTCTTCTGTCCTTTCTGTTGTCTGTAAATTAAATACAAACGTGTTACACTGCTGGAAATGAGAGGCTAATTCTATTTGCTGTTGCTTTGTAAATATAACACTGTCAATTTACACCATCCATGCAGGTGTGGGGCACACTGTGTTAGAGAGAAGCACACCTGTGTCACTTGTCATGGTGAAAACTAAATTAATATAATATCTAAAACGTTTTATAAAATGAATGCTGCAGCTCTGGTTCTGGGTGCTGATTGGTCAATACAACGTTTCAGCTAAAATGGTAAAAACACAGTATAGCTAGTGTGCAACTATTCCCTACCACTGTTAGCCGTCAACAAACAACTTCCTTAAAGAAACAATTCAATGGTTATAAATAATAATGATGACAGTATATATTAAGTACCATGAACTAACAATAATTTTTATAATGTAATATAATATATTGTTGGGTCATGATATCTAATTTATACTGTCATTATAACTTTATTTTATATTTTCTTACATATATTACTTACATATCATGTATGTACATTTATGTACATGTATATAAGACGCAGAACGATAGAACGATCAATAAAAAGAAAGAAAGAAATCAGAAGCAGTCAAGGTATAATCATATCCCTAAAACCAACCAACAAAACAAACAAACAAAAGAAATTATTAAAAAGACAGACGAAAAAAAGCATATTTTCTGTCTCAAGAATCCCATGAATAGGACTGAAATCCTGAAAAAGAAACTCTGAATAGAAGAGGAGACCTACGAAAATTAAAATTGTGGCAATTGTTGTTGAAGTGGCTCCTCAGATGCACCCAAGACGGTGAGGAGGAGGAAGAGGCTCTCTTGCCAGTCACAGGTCATTTTTGCAGCACTATGATTAAATCAGTGGAAATTAATGCGGTCACCCTCTCATTGGGAATCAGCATCTTTGGGCCGCAGATTTAAGAGGTAGAGGAACCCTCCAGGGCTGAATGTCAGAACGCCAGCCAGACTTTTAAATCACCACTGTGTCACGCAGCACAGGGACCGAGACGGCCCACGGTCAAGTGGATAGATCAAAGAGCCGTGATATACGCTCATATGCATATGCAAATATTACATGCACATTAAAAAGTCAGCGGGTCAATAATTTTCATTGTAACGTCACACCAGCAGCAAAATGAGCTTGATATAAGACCTCAGCATCTACATTAGCCAATGAAGGACATTAAATGGGTTCAAGTGAGAATGCAAGTGGCGTTTTTTGATGTCTAAAACTACTCAAGCACAGCAACCGGTTTAGACTTTGGGAGGTCAGGAACTGCTTTGAGCAGAAAGGGACTCGATCAAGCATAAAACACACTTTTGCACCTCATAACATTGAGGGTGATAAAGGCTTCTTGAAATGGCATCTTGGAGCAGGACAAAGGAGGGTCTACGAGTACATAAAGGTGTCAAAAAAGGAGGGCCCTTTCAAACGATAAACACGGATGAGGTGACAACGAGTTCAAGGTGATTACTAATGGGAAAAGTTTAAACTAAAGTAGCAAGAACTGACATATACTGTACACAACTGATGAGAAAGACTGCCATTTAAAAACTATCAGTGGAAGGTTTAAAAGAAGTGTGCAAATGCTTGAATTCACTCTTCTGAGGATTAAACAAAATATGAGCCATTGTGCAGGAAGTAAAAAAAAAGGTGTTTCAAGTGCAAAACCACTTTCTTCAGTTCAAAGGACAAACAACATTTTCCTAGAAGGAGCTCTTTTCCGCATTTTCCCAAATAAGCGATTCACCCCCAAACAGCCTGAAATAACCAAACTTTTGCAACTTCATGCGGTTTCACTTAAAAAGCACAATTAAAACTCCCAGCATGATTGTTTTTAAGAGCTGGCCATCCAAGCATTGGATAGGTAAGTTAGCTTTGCCCGCCCTGACCATATGGCACTTCAGAGGCTTATTAACAAGCCGAGGCTCCTGTTTGTATGTGCTTAGGTTGAATATTAATTTCCCAGTAGCTCAGCAAAGTGTGATGTTGGCCAAAAACAGCAAGTGCTGAAGGTTTGAAATGCTTGCTTTAGCGTTTAGTTGAAATGCAGCCGGCCGTGGTGTTGTCATTACGAGTTTACATCTCGGCCAGTGGTTTGAATTAAGAGCAAGTGGCCACCTTGGCTCAAAGTGCAGTGATAAATTAACCTGCCCAGCCTGGACAACACTGCGGCTGCATACGGTGCCCATCACTTAGATTCCATTAGGTTAATCATGCATAATAATAACACATAGGCCAGTATGATAAATCACCCTTCGCTTTGGAAACGTGGATTGGGGAGGATGGGTGATTCGGCTTCATTGGTGTAGAAGGGGAGGAGGGCTGAGAAAAGAAACAGTAGGAAAGAGAAAGTGATATAAGGACAGCCTGAGTGAGTGAACCCTGTTTTTTGTCAAGGAATCTTTGATTGGTTCTGAGTCTCTGTACCACAACCGAAAAGATCAAAAACAACAGCACACTAGGAGTCTTTCTTTCTCCATAAGCCACTCTCTGAGCTTCTGACAAGACGAGGTCAGAAAGAAGAACATTACTATCCTCAGAGCGTTCTGAAAATTGTCAAACTTTTTAATACAGGCCTGTATTCAACAGCTTGAAAGTCTCTGTTATGTTCAATTCAATTCAATTCTATTTGTATAGCGCTTTTCACGATACAAATCGTTGCAAAGCAGCTTTACAGGAAATGTACTACAATTTGTACTACAATTATGTGAAAAACACACTTAGAGCAGCGACTTAATAGTGCCTTAATAGACTTAATAGCAGCAGTAACCCAATATTGTACTTCTTACAGAATTTTCATAATTAATATGCAAAACTAAATGTGCAAATTTAATTTGTTGTATATACTATTATTATTTTTTGATATTCAATCATTAATTTTAGAGTTTAATATGTTTTTTTAAAGACTGGGGACAATAAGATTTTTACTGTTTTTTAAATAAGTCTCTTATGTTTATTTAATATGCTGATTTATTATCAATGTTGAAAACAGTTGTGCTGCTTAATTATTTTTATTATTTTGGAAATTGTGATACTTTTTTCAGGATTTTTTGTTGAAAAAAAATGTTAAAAAGAAGACCATTTATTTAAAATAAAAATATTTTTTAACAATACAAGTCATTTATTGATAACTATCATTTATCAATCTAATATATCCTTGCTGAATAAAATTATTAATTTCTTTAAAAAAAAAGAAAAAAAAAAAAGAAAGCAACCTGACTTCAAACTTTTGAACTGTAGTGTATATTGTTACATTTCTATTTTGAATAAATGCTATTCCTTTCAACTTTTTATTCATCAAAGAATCCTGAAAAAAAAAAATCACAAAATATTAAGCGTCTATTATTATACATACGCAAACCCACGCAAACACCATTTCAGAATTCACAATACCAATTTCGTTATCACTGCAAAAATGATTATGCTATTGAATATGCTCCTTTATTTCAAATTAAATATTTAAATAATTATTTAAAAATAGTGTGCCACAGTGCAAGATATTCCACCTCATTTTCTTCAATCCCTGATAAAGCGGAGATTCTCATAGCCCGGTTACTCATGATGTCGGCGATGAAAAATGGATGACATTAACAAGTGTTACAGTACAATCAATTTATCTTATTCGAATAGAACAGCTACAGTATGCTGAAGGAATCAGAATATGGGCATTTATTAATGGCCTTCAGGCTTAGATATATAAATAGAAGAGAGATAACAGGGCATATACATCACGCCGACATCTCAGGCACACGTCCACACACATCGGTGAGAAATGACAGCATGCCATTTTGAGCGATTGCAGGCCAAAACGCAAGAATCACAACATTTCTAACATTGAGGGGCCGCTTCATCATTCAGGATAACTACAATCAAAGACTGTTTCCATACAGCTGGCTTTTGTGTCATATGAGAAACCTACGCATGAAGATAACCTATCTGGACTCTACAGTCACTTCAGGAAAACTATTCTCTTACACATCTAGAACTGCAATAAACACTTTCTAGTTGTTGTCATTACAAAGTCAAAACACTGACACTTGTTCAACCAATGGCATGAGTTTAGGACGGGACTATCTGTTTCTTCATCCAATAAACGATAAGACAAAGCAATTGACAATAAGCAATTTTGTGATACAAGTGATACAGAACTTACGCACTTCAGCCTATAAAAGAATAGACAAACAGAATTAAATTGTGACACGTAAATTGTGGGCAGAAACCTGCATATTATGTCTAAAACTGCTTCCTACGACAGTGCTGAGCAGTCTCTTCACACAACCCTCTTAAAGGCATACAAATCAATGGGGCACAAGTAACCACCCACCATTACCAATTCTCTGTTGGCCACTCACCGTGTATGTGATCACTGCCAGCATGCCAATCAAGGTGAGCGAGCTGATGGAGAACGACAGGGCGGCCAGGCCATCTGCAAGACAGAGGGGAAATGTATTTATGACATGGGCCAAATGCAGAGCTCTGTTAAGTTTTGGTCATACGCCAGATATTCAGAGCAGTTCCTGCCCCCCAGGGAAATTCCTCAATGCACCTCATCTTCTCTCCTCTCTTACTATCATTCCTCTCAGCTTCCTCTTACTCTGACATAGTTACTGAAAGGTCAGCAAAGTTTTTGCCCTCTAAATTTTAAAGGGGTCATATGATGTTGTTAAAAAGAACATTATTTTGTGTATTTGGTGTATTGAAATGTGTTTATGCGGTTTAAAGTAAAAAAAACACATTATTTTCCACATACTGTACATTATTGTTTCTCCTCTATGCCCCGCCTTT